TTTTTTTTAAAAAAAACCTTTTAATTTTATAGTAAACAAGCTTATAATAGGCTAATTAAATTAAGTTTATATTATTAAACCTAATTCTTTTTATAATATATTTTACTAAATATACAAAAATATAAAAAAACATAAAAAAATAGAAAAAAATAGAAAAAATAAACTTTTTATATTTTTATATTTTAACTTTTAAAAATTATATATATTAATTAGTATTAACCCTATATATTATATATTATAATTTTATGTATTTATTTAAAATATATAGTAAGGGTTATATCTATAAATATTTATATAAATATATATTTAAAATTTTATTATATATATATATATATATATATTTTATATATTTAAAGGTTTTAATATTAGGGCTAGTTTTGATATATTTATTAGTAATATTTATTAGTTTTTATTTACTAAATTTTATAAATTTTATAATTACTTTATTTATTTAAGCTTAAGGATTTTTTATATAAGTTTTATTATTTCTAGAACACAGGCTTTAATACTAAACGTAATATATATAATAAAATAAAGTTTATTTTAACTAAATTGTTAAAAATATTATTATTAATAGCTTATTTAATGTTTAACACTTTTATTAATAGCTTATTTTAAATACTAATACTTTTGTTTATAGCTATAATAATAGCAAATAAAATAAAGGTATTTAAAAAATTTAATAAATAATATATAAATTACTAGTATAAATTTGTAATTTATAAAACTTAATTTTTTTAAAAAATTTTTATATATAATTATAGCTAATAATAATAGGGTAATTTTTTTATTTTTTTTACTTTAAATTAGGTACTAGTAGCCTATATTGTTATAAGTAATAATTGTTTAAATTATAAATTTATAGTAATTATAAAACTTTTTTTTATAAGTTTATTAATAAAGCTAAAATTATAAAAAAAGTTATTACCTACCTTATTAATTATAAAGTTATAATTAACTAGTGTATAAGCTTGCTTATTAAAATTAATATATAATATAATTATTATACCTAGGGCTATAAAGTATTTATTAATTATATTATTATATTAGGGTATTATAGGGGTAGTTATTATAAGTATTATTAAAATAGTTAAGGTATTTATTATATTAATAAATATAAGTTATAGCCCTTATTTACTTATAAATATATTAGTTAATATATTTAATATTTATACTAGGTAATAATAATAATAATAAAAAAGGTTAAAAAAGGCTAAGAAGGTTGTAAAAAAATATAAATAAAAATAATATTACCTTACTTAAATATATTATTAAGTTTACTTATTACCTGTACTAGCTTTAAATTATAATTTTTAGTATTTTTTATTATATATAAGCTTAATTTATAAAAAAAAAATTAACCTAACCTAATACTTTTAAGTATTATAAATATATATTATTAACCTAAAGTTTAAAATATTTTTAATATAATATTTTTAATAATATTTTTATCCCCCTAGTACTAAAAAATAAATAATTAACAAGTATTTTAATATATACAAGTTTTATTTAGTTTAAATAAAAAAACTTAACCTAAAATTTTAAAGTATTTTTTTTTATATTTAAAATTAAATATTTTTTATTTTTGCCCTAGGGTTAAAAAATAAAAAAATTATATTTTTATAATATTTAATAAAAAAATATATTAGGTTTTATTAATAATAAACTATTTTTATACTTATAATATATTAAAAATAATTATTAGTATATTTTTTATTTATAAAAATAAATATTAATTACTAACTACTTATTAATAACTATTAATTTATAACTATTTATTTATAACTACTAATTTTTAACCACTAATTTTTAACCACTTATTTATAACTATTAATTAATAAATACTAATAAATAACTACTAATAAATAACTACTAATAAATAACTATTAATATATAATTATTAATAAATAACTATTAATAATAAAAAGTAGTAAAAAATAACTACTTATAAATAACCACTAAAAGTTTTAAAAAAAGAAAAAAAAAGGTTTTAAAAAAGGGAGAAAAAAAAAAAGAAAAAAAAAAGGTAAAAAAAAAGGTTTTAAAAAAGGTTTTAAAAAAAGTTTAAAAAAATATTAATATATAAATATTAATTTATAAGTATTAATAAATAACTACTAGTAATTATATAGGAAAAACATGTTTAAAGGTTTAGGTTAAGGTAAAAAAAAATATTTTAGTAACTTATTAATAAAGGAATTACTAAATTATTAAGGTTATATTATATTTATTAAAAATACTTAAAAAAGCTAGTATTACTTTTTACTTTTAAAGAATAGTAATTATTACCCTTATAATTAAAAAAGCTATTAAAAATACTTTAAAAAGCTAGTATTATTACTTGCTTTTAAAGGGTAGTAATTATTATTTTTATTAAAAATACCTTAAAAAGTAAGTATTATTACCTGCCCTTAAAGGGTAGTAATAATTATTTTTATTAACAATATTTTAAAAAGCTAATATTACTACCTAACTATATTATGTAGCTGGACCCCCCCCCCTCCAGCGCCAAAATTTAAAACCCTAGGGGGGGGGGGTCCAAATTTTTTTTTAAACCCCCCCTAACTTTTTTATTATTAGGCTAAATTTAGTAATCCTTTTTTTATTATATAAAGAATTTAGTTAAATTTAATATTATTTAAAAAAATCTAAAAAATATTAATATTTAGCTTAGCTAATATTATTTAAAGTTTTAATAAAATTTTTTATTAGGGTAAGCCTTAGCGCGCTAAAGTAAAAAAATTATACCCTTTTAGGCTATTACTAAAGACCCTAGGTTACTTAGGTAATTATAAACACCTAAGGCACCTAATTTTATTTTAAATATTTTTAATTTTTAAAAATTTTAAAATTAAAATGTTATACCCACGGGTGCCAAGCCTTAATAAAATAAAAAAATTAATAAAATAAAAAAAATAAAAAAACTAATAAAATAARAGTTATGGTAATATTAACCTACTATATAGTAATAATATTATTATTATTTTAATAATATATTTAAGGCTAACACCCTAATAAAAAATAATTAATTAAAAATTAGTTTTTATATATTTTAGGCCTTAAGATTTAATATTAATTTTTTATTAAATAGCCTTTTTAATACTTTATTTTATACCTAGTTAGCCTACTTAAGGTTTTTATAGTTTTAACTTTTTTACTTATTAACTATTTATAAAATATATATTATATTACTAGTATACTTATACCTTATTTTTAAATAAAATTATTTTAATAATCCTGGAAAAGGACCCTTTAATACTTAATAATTTTTTATTATTAAAATTATTAAAAGTATTATTATAAAAAATTATTAAAATACTTGTGAAACGCTAGTAACCTAATAATTATAAAATATAAAAAGGTATATTAAGTATTTAAAAAA